AAAGGTTGCGGGTAACATTCTGGTCAGGCCACATGCCTGGGTTGTGGGTTCGATCCCCCAGTAGGGGGTGTTGGTGAGGCAGCTGATCGATGTTTCTCTCTCATCGATGTTTCTAACTCTCTATCTCTCTCCCTTCCTCTCTGTGAAAAATCAATAAAATATATATTTTTTAAAAAACAAATAAATAAATAAATTTTTAAAAAGGATAGCAGATTAGATCTCTCAGAAGAGAGAAAGGGTGCAGTATTCTAAGAGGGGCTGGTTTCCCGGGGCTTGGGTGGATGTCATGATGGTAGGAACATCCCTAGTTTACGTTGGAAATCTGTGAGGACTTAGGGTTTGACAGGATCGGGGAGCCTGTGGGGTGTCAGGGGAGACTTCAGAGGCTGCTAAGCATGCAGCTCAAGCCGAGAGAGATGCTGCAAACCTGAATCCAAATGCCAAGGTCCCAGGCTCAACCCCGGCTCCTCTGGGGCCTCCTCCTCTAGGGGCCCCACTGCAGAGGCAGGAAGTACTGCCTGAGGCTCAGCTTCCGCTCTGGGTGTTTGGCACTGCCGGGCCACCTCTCTCACTCCCACGGACCTTCCCAGTTGGGGCCTGCAACACTTTCACTTCCCTCGGATGCCCAGCCTCTGTCCCAGCACAGGGGTGCACCTGGTCTACACTTGTTGCCAAAACAGGATGCAGACTCTGAGAAAGGGGCCGTGACAGAAGGGGGGAGAGTGCTCAATAGAGAAAGGACAGGCGTGCAGAGAGAAGGTGCCAGAAATCCAGAGAGGGAGAGGATAGAGACTCAGAGGTTGGGGGAGACAGAAACCCAGAGTGAGGGGGACAGACATTCAAAAAAAGACAGAGAGACCCCCGCCGGCGGCGTGGCTCAGTGATTGAGCATCTACCTATGAACTAGGACAGTGGTCAGCAAACTCATTAGTCAACAGAGCCAAATATCAACACCACTTCTTCAAAACAGACTCGCCCAAGCCGAAAACCGACGTCTGCACATGGGCCACAAAGTTTCAATCGCACTGTACATGCGCGCCCGCACGTGGGATTTTGTGGAAGAGCCGCACTCAAGGGGCCAAAGAGCCGCATGTGGCTCGCGAGCCGCCGTTTGCTGACCACGGAACTCGAAAATCACAGTTTGATTCCTGGTCAGGGCTCCATCCCCGGTGGGGGCCGATGGGGCTGATGGGTGATTCTCTCTCATTATTGATATTTCTATCTCTCCCTCTCTGAAATCAATAAAAATATTTTTTTAACTCAGGGAGAAAAAAACACACACACACCAAAAAAAGGGGGAGGGGGAGGGGATATACAAAATAAAAAGACTCAGAGAGAAGGAAACAGACCCAGAGAGGGAAGGACAAGGGACCCAAGGCTGGGACGTGGGGACAGAGATGGATGCAGAGATGGCAGAGCTAAGCAGGCAGTGAGGTCAGAGTGTCTGTGAGGTCGGCGGCTGTCCGGGGCCAGCCTGGGGTCCTGGTGCCCAGAGTAAGTGGGTACAAGTGGATCAGGAGTCCCTGTGGGTCCCCCAGCCTGCGCCATGGACACCTGGGAGGAAGGGCCCCGCGTGTCCTTGGTGTCCACAAATTCCAAGGCCCCTCAGGTACTGGTGTGTGTGTGGGCCCCAGTGGGGCGGGTGAGGGAGCCAGGGACGGAGACAGAATAAAACCACTTTGTGTGTAGAGGGCGGGGGTGAGGCTCCACCCCGGGCACTTCCTCTTTCTCTGTATTCTTCTTTTCTGTCTGTCTCGGCCTCTCCTCCTCGTTCAAGGCTTCTGTCTCCCCGTCTCCCCTCTGCCAACTCCTCTTCTCATCACTCACCCCTCCAGGCCACGATGTCGGCCCAGGACAGCTGCCTCAGCCTCATCAAGTACCTCCTCTTCGTTTTCAACCTCTTCTTTTTCGTAAGTTGTCTCATGGCTATCCAGCCTGGGCCCCGGGCCCCCCCGCCGTCGCCACCCCACCCCACCTCGTATCCCCACTTGCCCACCACCACCGTCTCCTCTCCTCTCCGAAGGTCCTAGGCAGCCTGATTTTCTGCTTCGGTATCTGGATACTCGTGGACAAGACCAGCTTCGTGTCATTTGTGGGTGAGGGGGCCAGGGCGGTCGGGGCGGGCCTTCCTGGAACAGCATGGACCCGACCTCCCAGCAGGTAGCCTCCTGGGGCCTCCCTTGCCCCAGGGAGCCCCTCAGTGCCCATTCTGCAGGCAGGTCCCGGGCTCTGCAAAGCTGGCCACTGCTCCTGCCGCTCCAAGCCTCAGTGTGTTCCTCTGACAAACAGTTGTGCGGACGGACCGCTCAGAACAATAATAGTCATTTCTTAGGCACTTCCTATGGGTCAGACCTTGTGCAAACGCCCATCAGAGCCTCCCCACAAACCTTTCCTGAGGTTCAGAGAGGGGGAGTCACATACTGGATGTCACTCAGCAAGGAAGTGGCTCAGATATAACACTAATAATAATAATAATAATAATATAATGGGGTAATAGCCAAACTCCTCATGGTTCCTAGTTCATGTGTTTGCCCCGGGTTGAGGACTGGATTGAACACGTAGCTCCCAGGTCCCTCAAAGCAACCCCAGGAAATAGATAGCATTACCCCTAGGCCGCAGGGAGGTTAAAGTGACTCATCCAGTGTTGGCAGAACAAGTGATGGGGCTGAAACCACGGGGAGTGAGGAGGAGCTGGAGGAGAGAGATAGAGCGAGAAGGAGAGGCTGAGAGCTGAAGGGAGAAAGGATAGAGGCTCAGAGAGAGAAGAGAATCCCAGAGGAGAGGGACAGAGGCTCAGGGTGGGGCAGGGTCAGAGGCCCAGAGAAAGGGGTGCCCAGGAGCCCAGAAAGAAGCCCCCAGGACACTGCTCCCTCCGGCGTGGGTGGGGACCGGGCTGCGGGCTGCCTGGCGCCCTGCATGTCAGACTCAGTGTCGCCGCCTCTCCTCCCCTAGGCTTGTCCTTCATGCCCCTGCAGATCTGGTCCAAGGCGCTGGCCATCTCAGGGGTCCTCACCATGGGCCTGGCCCTGCTGGGCTGCGTGGGGGCCCTAAAGGAGCTGCGCTGCCTCCTGGGCCTGGTGAGTGCGCCGCCCGTCTCCATCCCTAGGACCACTCCCCCCTCCCCTGGGCAGGGGCTCAGCCTGACCTCTCCACTCTGCCCCCCAGTATTTTGGGATGCTGCTGCTCCTGTTTGTCACCCAGATCACCCTGGGGATCCTCATCTCCACTCAGAAGATCCGGGTAAGCTTGCCTGCTCCCCCCTAACCCCACCACCACCCCCCCCAACACACACACCCTGCCTTCCGCAGCTAGTGGGTGGACTTGGAGGGGGTGGGGTGAAAAAAGACGTAAACAAAGGCAGACAGGGACCGGCAGACACATAACAGAGAAATAGAAGAGAGAAACAGCCGCGAGGACAGAACACATACAGAGAGAGAGAGAGAGAGAGAGAGAGAGACAGGGAGAGGCAGAGACCCGCACGGACGGAAGAAGAGAGACGGAGATCTAGAGGGAAGCAGGAGAGAGAGTCAGGCAGAGAAACGGGCTCTGAGGAGACAGCAGCCTAGTGAGAAATGGTGGGAAAGGAGGAGAGAACCAGACAGACGGTAGAAACGGGCAGAGAAAGATTTTGAGGAAGAGACACAGGTAACAGCCATTCAGGGAGGAACCGGTGCTCAGGGACCCCTGGGGTCGACGCAGATGGGGGGTCGGGGGGGAGGCAGGTGGGCGTCCAGCCTCACTCTCGGCCTCGCAGCTGGAGCGGAAGGTGAAGGAGCTCGTGCAGGAGACGATCCAAAACTACCGCTCGGACCCGGAGAAGTCCGCGGCGGAGGAGAGCTGGGAATACGTGC